CTCTCCACCCCTCCCCCCTCGGGCTCACCTCTCGCATCAGGGGGTCTTCCTCAGCAGGCAAGGCATCTTGACCAAACGCGAACTCGCACGACAGGTCTTCGAAGTTTGGGGTCATGCGCAACGGCATACCTGGCAAAACCCCGTCGGTGAGGCGGAGCGGTGGGGCGACCATCATCAGTCGAGCAACGGGAGAGCTACCCCACAGCTACCTCTGTTTCTCAGCAAAGGGCACAAGGCCTATTTAGGCGCAAATAGCAAGTTACGGCCCTGTTGTTGTTGTTGTTGTTGTTGCGACTGTTTAAGACAACCGCAGAACTAGAGGCGGCGCCGAGTCACGCTACAACACACGCACCAAGATCTAACGTCTGTTCATTGGTCAGCCGGTCAGCGCGGTCGATGCTAACAACAAAGAGAGAGAGAGACACACACGCACGCACGCACGCACGCACGCCCGCCCGCCTCGTGTACGGTTCATTCCTGTCTCGCGACCACAAGCACCGCCTTCCGGCTCCTAGCGCCGCTGTGTGTCTCAGGGCAGCACAGCGAGGATGCCTGCACACGCACACGTCGATGCCTCACGCCGCTTACTACTACCACTCCTGTCTTACGCGACAAGCTCTGTACGGAACGATGGACGCACACACCCCCGCACGTCCGGGCTGGCTGGCTTCGCGACCACTCACCCAGGTCTTCCCTGAAGAAGGCCTCGGTGGGGAGCTTGCAGAGGTTCATGCACGTCCCCTTGCACTTGCTCGCCTCCAGGTACCGACAGCGTTCCACCTTTACGGTGTTACGCCAAACCTCCTGCCTAGGACCCTCCCCTTCCTTGGCCGCCTGCAACGGCGGCGGCGGCGGTGAGAAAAACATAAACGTCGAAATCTTGACAATAACTCCAACAGCAGTGGAGGTATGCATAGGTGTCAGTCAAGGGAAAACTCCAAAAGCAGTGGAGGTAGGCACAAGTGCCAGTCAAGGAAAAACTCGAACAGCAGTGGAGGTATGAATACGTGCCAGTCAAGCGAAAACTTTTAAAGGGGGAAGTATGCATAAGTACCAATCAAGGGAAAACCTTAACAGGGGAGGTATGTATGAGTCCCAATCAAGGGAAAACTCCAACAGGGGAGGTATGCATAGGAATGTACGCATAAGTGCCACTCAAGGGAAGAACACATCACCGGGATGCAAGAAACAACGAGGCCCGGTTGACGACGAGGTGGGTACATCTTATTATCAAGGCGGGCTCCCGACCGTGGCAGGATATGTACGGAAGGCTCAGGGTCATGCAAAGCACCGGGGCTGCCACGAGTCAAGATTGAGCTGGTCGCGCGTTATTAGTCACCCCCATCCTCGTTTTCCTACCCCCTTTCTGAGGAACGTCCTTTGGTAGCGAGTGTGTTGAATGCTTAGACCATTCGTGAGTCAGTCGTTTTCGCTTCTCCGGGAGAACGGATGCCATGCGACACTAAAACGGCCCTTACACAAGCACCACGAAGCCTCCGCGGGATGCGGTCCAAAAAAAAAAAACAGTAGATGCGAATGAGCGACAAGTACTTCGCGCACCCGTCGGCTCCCTGGCCACCTCCTGGTGTCTCACAGGGCGCGACGCATGATCGCTCCGAAATACTCGGGGGGTGGGGTCGCAAGCCTGTTTGTTATTTTCTCCTTCCCGTTCTGCCGGCCTCTGCCTCACCTTGACATCGACAACGCCTTCCGTGAGCTCCGACTTTCCCACGAGCCACCCAAACAGCGGAGGACACATGAACGCGTTCACCTCAGCAGAAAACTGTGGACAAGTGCGCAGGCGGGAGGTCATGGAACAGTACCCACGCGAGTGTCAGGGGATAGTCGTGTGTGTGTGGCGTACTCATGTTTTGCATGCGCGTGCGTGTGTGTGGGGGGGGTTACCCTGTTTCGAGGTGTTCGCGTCTCGTACAACGGTCTCCCATCAACCTGCCGTCGTGAGCGTGCGTGATCTACGTGATCCACGTGATCAACAACACGTGCTGTCAAGACTAACACACACATTCGAAGGGCCATTGCTGCCTCACGACATGCCGCTCCCGCAACCATCACCATATCTGGTGGCGGTGGAGCTTGTCCCTTCGGAGCTAACGCCATGAACCAACAGCTGCGTGTACACCGCACAACACAACACACACGCCTGACTCCTAACCCAACACAAACACACACACACACGAACATCAAAAACGGGCATCAGCGCGGCATGCGCGTTGACCAAAGTCCATCCAGAACAACGATGCGCCGTGACTGGTGTAACTAAGCACCACACACTTTTCCGGACGTGACACCGTATGACCCCTCGAGCTCCTCGTTTAGCACGTAGGGGAGGCGTGTTTTCGTTTCTCGGGTCTCGTGGTCCCCCTCCTCGGACTAAAGCAACCACAGGGTGGCACCGACACCTCCAAACCAACCACCAGATCGCGTAAACCACCGCTCTTCTCGCTCTACTTCGTTTAGCCTCGCTGTCCAAAAACACTGCTTTCAAACCAATGCGCTACGCACGGGCAGAGCCGTGCTTCGATATCATGAAAAATTCAAGTTTCTTACCGTATTGTGGTTGTTTGCAACCTGCCCTCGACACACATCATGCTTGGAGGAGAAATATTCTCATTTGCTTATAAGCATGGCCTAAAAGCACACCTTGTGTGGAGGGAAAATCGTTACCGCTGGACGTTTAAACATGGGGTCCAGTCACACGCCATGCTTGGAAGAAAAAAAAACATTCCTAGTTGTTTGCACACCTTGCTTGGAGGGAAAAGCATGCGATAGAACGCCGGGAACCACGCCGGGAAGACCGAGCGCAGGACTCCCCGCACCACCTCCCTCTGCCTCTCGGGCGCGCCGGCCTGCAGCCCGGTCGCCAGGGCGACGTAGTCCTCGTACGTGTACCCCCCCCCCATCCCGCCGCCGCTGGGCCCCCGTCGCGGCGACGCCGGCACCGCCGCCGGCTCGGCCCTCCCTGGTCCCGCCAATGCTGTCGATACCGCAACGATGCCGTTGCCCCCGCCGCCGTTCGCCGCCCCCGCCCCGCCCCGCCCTGCCTTTTCCCTTCCCAGGACCGTGACATCTCCTGCTGCTGCTGCTGCTGCTGCTGCTGCTGCTAACGCCGGTTCGCCCGCAGGAAAACCGGCCCTATCATCGCCGCCGCCGGAACTACCGGCACTACTTCTGTCGGGGGCGGCGGCGGCGATCGAGCTCCTCCCGTCGTTGTCGCTGTTGCCCTTGTCGCGGACCACCGCCGCCGCCGCCGCCGCCTCCGCCTCTACCGCAGCGGACATTCGGCTGCTCAGGAGGTTGATCCACAGCGAGTCCACGAAGGAGTCGGTGTACTCGTTGTCGGGGGCCGCGAAGGGGTCTGCCTTCTTAACCTTCTTCGTACTGCTATTCCTGTCGTCGTCGTCGTCGTCGTACAGCCCGGATGACGAGACTCGGCTGTTGAGCGGCGCAACGGCTGTGGGCGGCAAGCCGCCTAGCTGCTGCTGCTGCTGAAGCCATTCTCCGGGCTGGTGTTTAGATTTGAAATTCGAGGGGTCGATAAAGGACGGCGGGAGACGGGTCAGCTTGTACAGTTAACGGCGGAATGATATCTCGAGGTTTTCGTCCGGAGGACGAGCTCGCAGCAGGATTCATATCCTGATAGCCTCATGCATCCAGCAGCTGGCACATAGCGGTATTTTCGTTAGGGAAATCAGGCTGGACTTCGAAGCCAAACTCTGGTACTTTCTGCTGAAGTCATTGCGGCGTCCATAAACATCACACCGGAAACATAAGACTATTTTTCATTGCCTCACAATCTCTACTGTATGTCCCGTATGTCGACAACTCCGGGCGTTCATCTTGGGCGACCGGCGCGAACACGGCCACCGCCGTAGCAAACACTGCAGGTCTGCAGGTACCCACCCCCACACGCACTTATGTACGAGCGATGACAGGGGTGGTGTGAGAGAGCGCGCAGATTTCGGAACGAATAAAAAATGATACGGAGAAAATTGAAAATGTATTCTACTACAGTAGTAGTGGTTAATTGGTTTAGAACTCTGCTCCATCTGCGTGAGACCATTTTTGGTCGAGTATTTAGCACCATAACAAATTAACCGCAGTCCACGGATGGCCAGCCCACACTCGCCCAAAACGACATGTAGTTGTGCTTGCCGTCACATTCAAAAACAGCTATTAATATTGTATTTTACCACTATTTATCGCTTCCATGAAGAGAGTAATTTGCCCGCCACTGAGTATGTGCCGCATCCCGTCTGTGCATGAACACACACCTCTTAAAGTGTGCGCTTTCCTGTCACTACAACGGGACATGCCTGCCTACCCTTCTTAGCTTCTCGCCGAGTGGCCAACATCGCAAAGTCCTTTGTTTCACCGGCGGCAGCCTTCGTTACAAGGCACCCTCTGTTCTAATCCACGTTCACCAGCAACTGCTGCGGTAGACTACTGAAGTAATTGTTTATCAAAGCATACCTAAAAATCACAGAAATGCTGCCCGATCGAGACACTGAGTCATTCGAAGGGATGTGTTGAAATCTCAACAGCAGCTGGTGTTGAGAAAAACTCATGGGAGCTACATCCTGCGCGTAGTCATACTGCTGTGCATCTAAATTTTCAGGGATGTTCACGGTGCGGTGCGGTG